TCTCTCTCTCTCTCTCTGCCATTTCCAATTGTTTGTGGACCAAGTAGGTGTAAAAATAAATTTTAGAAGTACAAACATATATATCCTCGTCTTGTCCCCTTCACTTCGCCGACAGAGTGGATGAGTAGTGAGCTGAGATGGAACTGTTTTAGTTGGTGGAAGTCAGTGGAATGGAATTGGGATTTGAGAGTTGTTTTGTGTTTTCATTTTTAGTAGGAAAGCTCTAATTTACAACCAAGTGGTAATAGAAAGGTAAGGAACTGAAAAACAAAGTCACTTCTGCATCGAAAAACAGAGGCTAGAAGACAAGGACAAATGAAAATATTGATTTAATCTCAAAATAGGACTGGAGCAATTTTATTCCCAAGTCTCTGTTGTTTTGATATGGAATGTACCATAATTATTTAATGTTCTAATGTAATGCTCAGGGAAAAGTTACGTTTAGAATCTATACAATAAACATATTTTAACCCAGCCAATCCTTTGCTAGAAATTATAGCTTACCTATTGGATGGCTCTAATGTTTCTACTGAAATTATTAGAGAAAGATAGATTCAGTCACACTGTGTACTGACAACTAAGAAGAAAGACCAGGCTTATTTAAAACGAGCGAAAATGTTAAGTCATTGTGTAAGCATCAAAAGACTCCACATGCCAGAAGATATGGAAATAGGGTTGCACTTAAACCACAGAAAAGGGCAGCTGGCATTGGCTATCCTTTTCATGAAAAGGAAAACAGGGGGAGATTCCACACCTGCCATGAGTACAGTATAAGAAATCAAGTAAATGTTAGAATAGAAGTCAGTGGTTCTGAAATGCTCACTACGTTACCTCATCCGTGCTGATGAGAAGCTGGGACCAGCTATTCCATTCTGGGCATTTGTCTTTTTCTTCAAAGGTGACATTCTTGGAGTTCCAGCAACAGTGTTCATGGTTAAACCACAATCCTCCTGTGCATATACCTTCTTTTAAGTCTGTCATCCAATGAGCAGAGATGTCTATCAAGCCAGCTAGAGAACCTAATTGGAGGGGAGGGAAGGACAGAATAAAGTTGTCAGGAAACAAGGGAAAAGAATCAAAATAATGGACAAGCATGTATTATACTTTTCTGTTCCATCTGCAACCTCTTTCGGATTGTCTGCTTGATTTTTCACCTATTATCTCTAATCAATTTCACCTATAATGAAATGCCTGTTCAACAGCGAAAAATAAAACACTGTCTGCATTAAACACTGTGTCTGTAGAATTTCTATATAGGGGAAACTTAAAGGAGAGCAAAACGGTTGGGCAGGAGCAAGGGGCGAATATATTTGACTTTCTGCTGATTTACATGGCAAAGACTCTGCTTTGACTTAGAGTTGGTGAATACTGATCCATAAAGACAGTCAAGTTTAGGGCCGGCCGAGTGGCGCGATGGTTAAGAACTGGCTTGGGACGCCAGAGGGCCCCGGTTCGGATCCCACATATGAGGGCCAGTGACACTGCCCTCCA